AATGCTAGAAAATTCTTGGAAAAGCATCCAGCCGAAAACGTAACAAAGTCTAGACAAAGCCTAGAGCATTCCTAGGACAAATCAAGGGCATTGGCCGGGCCGCGACCAGCCCGGGATTCGAGCCCGGGACCATTTTGGACCGTGCTTATTTTCCCGCGCGGGTGGAGAGGGTGCCCCAAGATGTAAATCAATTGGGATGGCAGAATCTTGGACAATCCAGGTCGCAATCACGTCGCAGTCACGTCGCACTTTGGTAGGAATCTTGGCGGATTTCGTCACTGCAACAAGGGTCCGGAGGGGTAGGGGAGGTAAGGTCTAAGTCTAAGGCTAAGGCTAAGGCTAAGTCTAAGGCTAAGGCTAAGGCTAAGTCTGAGGCTAAGGCTATAAGTCTAAGGCTAAGGCTAAAGGCTAAGGCTAAGTCTAAGGCTAAGGCTATAAGTCTAAGGCTAAGGCTAAGGCTAAGGCTTAAGGCTAAGGCCAACATCAACAGTCACGCCTCACCCCACGGTGTGGGGTCGGCGGATTATCATGCTCCCAAATCTGACACCTCCAAGGGGGAGTTGAACCCGCGGAGGGGGAGAGGTCTACCAGTGGATAATTCACTGGGTGCGCGATTCCATCCCCAGCCAACAACTTGCCAAACCAAGAGTAACTCCAGCTGGCTGAAGCTAGCTTTCGTGACACAAATAGACACATCGAGGAGCGGACACGGGCAGCATGTCGCCCACTGACTCCAACAACTTTTACCTTGGGCCCATGAAGGTCTCTCGTGGCTCTGATGTCCTTCCGTGCTCTCATCTCCTACAAACCAATCTACAAACCCTTGAATCCTGAAATCTGCTGAGGCGATTAATCTGGCACGCGCAACACGTTAGCATTGTTCAGAAACCTTATTTGGTCTAGCACCTTTGTTTTTCAACAGGTTTTGAAAGAGCTCAAAAAACATTCAACAAACTCTGCCATAAGGCTGGTTGAACATTCTATATAATTGAGTGATGATGCAAAATATGTTGTAAAATGTCGTTGGATTTATCTGCATCACGTTTGTCCTTCGGAGCTCAAAATCCACGTGCATCCCAGACTAGCAATTAATCCAATTACAAGTAAACTGTGTTGGATAGAATTCGCCAGGTACATGCGCATGTTTATTATCTTGTTTATTATCCTTGGCCAATCGCAAAGGAACACGAATAAAGGCTCATGTCATCAACCCTTTCATCCGAAATCCCTTGCTACGGGCAACGCAAAGGTTCGATCCCGACTCGCAAGCATAGACCTGCAGAATCAAGCAAAAGGCAACCAGTCAGCCTTCTATCGAAGAGAAAAGGAGCACACAACTTGGACAATGGGCGACGCAGATCTGAGCGACTCAAGTGCTTCTAAAGGAAACCATGAACCCATGGCACGCTGCCATAGGCTCAGTGTGATGAGCAACAAGGGAAAATGATACATGGAGCTTTATCAATGCAGCGTGAATCCATGCCTTGCCAAAGGTCCCATGACCTATGAGCTCGCCAACAGTGAAGCAAGCCTTGAACAATGTGATTTGAACATCAAAGAAACTCACATTGAACAATGTGGAAATGTCAACCTTCAACATCTTCAACTGAGTTCAATCAAGTGCCAAGTCATAAACCAGAATTGAAAAGTCTCTTCTCTCACGTCTACGGTAGCACGCTCACACATTTGCTATTTTAAGCAGCCTCGAAGCTTTGCACACCTGAGTTGCATGGCCGGGAAATCTTACCCCTGCCATGAAAAGCGAAGCAGGAAATAAATGCAAGTACATGAGACTGCATTGTGTCATGATCGTCAATGATTGCTAATCCAGCGCCTTCTGCGCTGGCTATGTGAAGTGTCTTGAAGACTTTGAGATACCAAACACTACAGGATTCGATCTTGCACAATATCTCAGGAAGGCACTGTCGATCTGAAGTAGATCCTCAGACTGCTTTGCCCGCCTCAACTTTAAGGATGATGCATTGCAACAAATCCAGCAAATCCTGAAGGCGTTGAACACTTCGGCCAAAATCTTTGACATGTTTGGAGGAGTCAGTTTCCAAGATCCCTACTCACCACAGCAGGTTGAAGAAGCACGTGTCAGCCTAGAAAGGCCTTGAGAAGGCACGGTGCGGCTAAATGACCGGCACACAGGAACAACCACCAAATACCCCAAGTGACGCAAGTGTATTCAATGAGAAAGCGCTTGGAATCTGTGAGAACGCACCTTGTAAAAGCCAAGGGCCCAAGCCTTCTAAACACATGATTCATCTCACATGAACGGACAGGTGTCGACTACAGTGTGTGATTATGTGATTATCGTGAGTTCATGCGTTCTATAAACAGAGAAGTCCAACATCGATTAATGTGGATTCTGTCAAGAGCTCGCCTCTTTCCGAAGATTCTGAGCTGCATGCCTTCAGGCTTGCTCTGTGTTTGAAAAACATGTTAAACAGATTTGTTCCGTGGCTATTTGGCATATGACATGTGCCGGCACCTCCCCATTGCGGTCGCTACCCATGCACCTCAGTTGCTGGGGCAAGATCTCAAGGAAGCAAAGTCGTCACAAATCCCCGAGTTCACATCAGGTCTTCAAATCACAAATGAAATTGAAAGGGCTTCCTAGAAGCTCCTTAGATTCTTGTTCTTTCCCTCAAATTCATCAATGAGGTCCTGGCTCAGCACGGTTCAAATAGTGCTTGAATGGATGCTGTAAGCATCACACGATTCTACGTGTTCATGGGCATGGATAGCTGCAGCCACAACAATGCAAGTGTCGGAACATTCCAATGTAGGTATACTCAAGCAAGAACTCTGTCAAGTAATGCCAGTGCTCTTGGTGCCACTTTGGGTGGCTTTCATGAAACTGATGACCCTTTCCTGCGCTTCTTCACTGGTCATGAGGTCACAGTCGACTCTGGAAACAGAAATTCCACAAGCTGTGCCTGTAGAATCTGTAGCTGCCACCCATCCGCTCTCCACCCCGGGCTTCACTTCAGTCATGCTTGGCTCTGGTACAGTCCACTTCCAAGCAAACCATGACAACATGATGATGTAATCATCGGTAATGCGCTGATCTTTTACAGCAGAAACCCTCAAGTGGAAATGCCGTCACTTGCAAGGGCAATTGCAGGCAAAGACCTCACTCAAGGCAGTTCATGAAGTGGTCGTTGGATCCACGTCACCAAACCTCAGTTTATCCAATCCCAAAGTACAAATAGGTGCTTCAAGACGAAAAACACCATGGACCCCAAGAATTGTATTTAACAGACCAAGAAATCACAGCACTCTGGCTCTGATAGTCTATTCACGAAGAAATCACAAAGAAACTCCAGTACGATTACTTCGTCAACCATTGCCTCACAAATTTACTAGAAAAGAACTGGCTACGCTATGAACCTCTCTTTGAGCAGCTGGCATGTCCCGTCACCACCTCTGCAGCTTGAAGGACTGTATTGACATCGATATCAATAGATGCTTAAATGTACACTTAAGATTTTGTATATGTATCATTATATACCTACACATTAACCTAGCTCTGACAGCTCCAATAGCAAAGCATTCCAAAAAACAAACAAAACATTGTATATGTATCACCAAAGGAGAAGAAAAATGTATTGAAGGACGACAGCATAACTTATGATATTTATGCACGAAAGGTGCATTCATTGCAGCAGCCAAAAAGGACATACTTTAAATATTGGTGCCAGCGAAAGCGCGCGTTTGGACACGCAGGCACATAGTTTTTTACAAAAGTGTGCGAACCAAGCAAACGATACATGCAAAAATGATGCTTTTACGACAGTAAGCCGGAAACATACATCGAAACAATGAATGTAAGTACATGTGCCAAGGCACGACTCATACACGAACGATAAGTGATAAGTGTGTCAAGCAAGGAGTTCTTTACATGTCGAAAATAATGTTTCACCAGCACCATAAAATATTGAAATGCAATCACAAGATTTAGACAAACAATTACAAAACAAATTCACTATCCAAATAACTGTAGTTTTCATAGACCACGAAGCGCTTAAAGAATGTTTGCCGACGGCCAACACTTTGAAATGTTCATTGCCTCCACACCATGTTTGTATCCCGAAAACACACTAAAACACACTCGCCAAAACGACATCAAGTGGCAGCGGAAAGCATATACCAAAAAGAAAAGAGTCGCACCAAGCACGATAGGTGTAGACATGGGCGCGCACAATCTCCACACGGAGAAAGAATGAAGCCTTTGAAAGGAGACCACAGGGGATCAATATGAACATACGACAACAATATATACCACTAATGTCCGAAGGAAAACACAATGTACCAGTATGTTCAAGGACGGAAGCGTTTATTTGTACACGACAGGTGTAATGAATGCAGCTCTCAAAGGTAACATAACATAAGCACTGGGGCCACGGAAGGTCCAAGCGCATGCGAATTAAGATTGAATATTGTTTTCAAGAGGCAAGAAATACTATAAAGACTTATAAATTACGTGCGTGTACTCACCAGCTCGGAATTAGAAAAAGCTGTGCTAGTACCTCGACGTGAAAAACGGTTCACAAGCTTCATGCCCCGTTCGGTTCGCGTCATCCTTGCTCCGTTCGTAGCGATGCCCGAAATGCTCCTAGTAGCGTCCTTGCTCCTAGTAGCTTCATATCCAGTTTCATGTCCATACCCTTCGTTGATTCGGATGCCCGAATCCTTCCATCGATCTTTTTTGAAGTGATTGATCTGTTGGACATCAGACCATCGAAACGTCGATGTTTAATTGAAACATTTTTGCAGACACAGAAATGATGGAGTTAGTCATAGTTAGTCCCTAGGGATCCAGTCGTACCTTGTCAGAAGGTACGACTGGACCCTCCAAACACATAACGGTGTCTCCAATCACCTTCTGACAAGGTGCTTGGATCCCTAGGGAGTCATACTCTTGTCATTCTTCAGCGACCTGTCCGCTAACTCCATCCATAGGATGAGGCAGTTAGCGGACAGGTCGCAGGAAGGGGACACGCCTCCGCTCCACACCGAAGATGACCTCCTCAACCCTCGCAGGGCATTCTTCTGCGCTACACTTCCGGTGGGAGACGGAGACATCCGGCACAACCAATCCCTGCAAGCCCACATTCGGAGGAGGGCCAGTATGGTCTAGTGGCTATGATGCATCCCTCATGCGCCGGACATGGATTCAATCCCTGGTCGCAAACACTACGCAGACAGGCGAGCCAGTACCGCCCAATCTTCTCAAGCGAGGAAGTTTGTACACATTCACGCACGATATGATATTTCAGCCCCAGAGAGCATTGTGCACCAAGTGTATGGACATGCAAACGCACAGTTCATACGAGCCCGAGACACAACCACAACATAAGCGATACACCACCAAAACATTAATTAGCGAACCAACGCCAAAGCAGAACCCACCACCTAATCAGCAAAGGAGGATGTGCACACCACCAAAACATAACCGGCACACCGCCCGAACATGAGCAAGACACCGAGCCACCAGCCAAACATGACCGAGGCATGCCGAGACACACCACCTAAACCGGGACAAAGAGTGTACAACCCCAAGCTATCGCTATTGGGGAATAAAATGACATAAATCCAAAGAGTCTGTCAAAGCGAATGAGGGCCACTGACGGCTGACCTGAAAAAGAACCTGATGGCAACTGGCAACTGGCCTTCGCCGGCCTTTCGCAACTTCATCGGCAGCAGAATCCAGCCTTATCATCAAAAAAAATCGAAATATGTCATGCTTTTCAATCTTCAACGTGTTATTCAGAACCTTTGCACGTGCGGCGACTTGCTCTGCACATTCGTCTTTACTCCAAGGTCAAACGTATGAGGAAGTCAAATACCCAAAGACTAGGCATTCCGTCATTGCTTCTTCTTCAGGGGTCAGCTTCCAGCTGCCATCTTCACCTTGCAACATACTTAAGAAAGGATTGCGCCAGGTATGCCAACGTCCTGTGTTCAAGATTGCAAACGACCGGCACAACTGCGCCTGTGCAACCAGTCACTGCCTTGGCATTTGCCTCTGTCGTGACCTAAGGCTATAGGAAACATTAGGAAACAACACTAACCTTTGAATCAATAAGCTACTAGGAAAAAGTGCATCGCTACTATATAGTAACGAGTGGCTTACTAGTAGTAACAAGAAGCTAATAGAAACAATAACACTAACAGCAAAGGAAAATACCAAGGGCCCCGCATCGCACAAGGGACTAGCACCCTTGCTGACAACCCACTGCAAAGCAACCTCACCAATTGTTTGTGAAGTGCCAACTGCACTGCAGTTCATTGGAAAACTGATGCGTGACATCTATATAGTGAATCTAGTGCAGCTTTGCTTAGCTTGAAGACATTGGTTCCACAGCCAACATCATTCAACTTCACTACTCTTGAACTGAACTGAACTCTTTCTGTCAAAACATCTTGCAAACTGCCTGGGTCGTACTGATTTCAGGCTTTTCAGCTCTTATCCTGACAGACTCAGTTCAAGGAGAACCAGGAGAATCTAATACGTTCTATTTATGTATATATATATATATTCTATATGCTGGGTGTTGTTACGGTGTTGTTCCCAGCCTGAGCCCTTTCACGACATCTTCCAATGCCTGGTGGAGCGGCCGCAACCTGCGGAGGGAGCCAAGTGCTTTCAGCGATGGCATGTATCGTTCTCACTTTGTCTAAATGCCCTTTCCTGCGAATGGCTATTGTTCGCAAGGAAAAAAACAATCATAGATTTGGTAACCCCGTCGCGGATCATATCTAAGGACATGTCGAGTTGGCACGCGCTGCACATAGGCAAGTTCCACTAGAAAACGTAGCATGATAGGCGCACAAGGCTGAGACTTGCGAGTCCATACGGCTACCTCTTTGCAAGGGCATCTTAGAAGGAAGCTAGTTGCAGTATCCCTGTGACAAACCTTGAGAATATCCTCGAGGAGGTTGAGACGTGAGAGAGAATATCCTTGAGAACAAAGTCTGCAACATACCTTGCGAGTCCTAGGCAAGGCACTTCTCCGGCGAACATCTCCATCACCAAGAAAGGGGTAAGGTAGCTGTGGAGATGGGGGTCTCAGGTTGGCTTTCCTGGACTTTCGCGGCACACATGCGAGAAGCTTTCGCATACCGTCCGTAGAAATTCACCGGTAGTTAACCCCCAACTGCTGATTGTATGTGGAAACGTGGCCTCGTTGGTATGGTTTTGGCTAGCATGGGATGATGTGGGATGGATCTAACTTGAGCACATGAAAGAAAACATAAGAAAACACCTTCAAGTGGAGAGGTGACCATGTTCTTACAATTACAAAAAGGTTACCTTCGATAGATCTTTCCCGGCAAATATTACTTATATCATTATATGTTTTATTTATGCTTCTGCGAACTCATCTCGGATCTTTCGCGCAGGGTTTTGACATGCTTTAACAGGATCTGAATGGTCATTTTCTGAACTTTCGATCAACTCCCATATCAACAAGTGTCTCGCAAGTCCATCGGAATGCAGTGAGAGTCTAGGAATTCTGGTTCGTGACTAGTGAGATCTAGTTGAATCTTTCTTGCCTGTCTATTGACAAAGGTACTCGTCCCCAATACGCTCAACTGAGGCTTCTCACGGCATGAGCTGAGCCAAGGTGAAGCGAGGCACGGAGATCTCACCGCCTCACTAGTCAACAGCCAAACAAAGCATAACAATATTCAACGTGGGCAACATTTATCACACAAATTTCAACGTGCAGAAGTGCTGCGCAAGTTCTACGTGCAACTGCAGAGTGAAACGAAATGCCGCTCTTGAAACAGCTTGTCGAATCATGTTCCATCTGAAAGCAGCTGACCGGTCGGATTGGCAGCAGTGTATCTGCCAGACCTGAGGCTTCAAGCCGCAAGATTCACCGACACCAGATTGGCTTCAGTGTCTGGCGCAAGCTCATCAGGCCCAAGGACATTCGTCGCAAAGACCTGAAGCAAAGGCGGCACAAGAATAAGGTGAATGAAGCTGTCAAATCGAACACCAGAATACATTGTCAAATCAGCAAACAGCCTTGATTCTGTTTGTGCTGTGTCTTCCAACAGCCATGGTGCTTCCCAGTAAATAGAGTAGCCGTGCAACATAAAGTTTGCGCATGTCATTCAAGGTCTCTGATTGATGTCCAGCGCCTGCAACCCCTGAGCTCGGCAGTCCTTAACCAGTTGGATGGCCTTCCCAGGTACAAACAGTAGCGTCCTTGCTCCTAGTAGCGATGCCAGGAGCCCCTTCTTGTTACTAGTAGTAAGGCCAGGAGCCCCTAGTAGCGTCCTTGCTTGTCAGCATCACTCAGGATGACTCACTTCGAGTTTCTGCCATACAATTCCCTCCTCTCGCTCGAGGAGAGATAGTTTCACAAAGACCTGACAATCGGATTCAAAGAGCACATGTTGCCAACATGTTGCCTGCGCATTTCAAAAGCACGACCAAACCAAACAATAAATAAGGTGCCAACAGAAGAGAGCCTGCCAGGTTTAGGTTGAGGGATTTTGGTGAGATTTGCAATGCTCAAACGAGGCAGCAGCACGTTGCACCACGCTTCTCAAGCTCCTTCAGAAAAAGAAAAAACTGATAGACTGGGACTTGACACGAAGGGCATGGCCCTGGCTGACAGCGTGACTCAACTGTGTTGACCTTTATTTTGCGCGACTAAGTTGTCCTGTTTGGCTTGCATCACCGTCTTGGCATCGGCATTGGGGTGACTGATGCCGATTTTCGAGCAAAGCCCCTTCCTTGGAGCTGGAGACTCAAATGTGGACGTGGACGGAAGAAACCAAAGGCTTGGGCTGGTAGGCTTCAACAACAGCATCGTAGACCTTGGCCAACAAGGAAAGAAGGAAAAGAAATGAAAGAATGCCACTTTAAGCAAGAATGTGAGAGCCGGGCCCAGAATGGAAAGTGCATCCGTCCTGCCCGGCATTGTTCTGAAGCTTCCAAGCATGCTGTCTTCCCGAAGTGCCTTGTCCGTCACTGTGGATAGTCAACGTCTCGATGTACCCAACATTGAGCCTATCGAAAGAAAATTATGCGCAAACGGACAAACTAAAGAGCATTGGAGGCTGAATATGGCTGAATAGAGCGAGCCCCTAAATGTGCACAGGGGCCTCTTCATTGCTTGCTGAAGTGGACTCAGCACCTTTGCTTCACCACAGTCGCCGTCATTCTCAACGTGTCCGTTCTTTGCTCAGCTCGAAGCAGTCAGGTGCATAACAAGATTTTTGTTAAGAATGTATCCAAGGCCTAGGCGGAGAGCAACAAAGAACGAATAACAGCACAATGTCTGAAAGAGCACAGAGTAGCAAAACAAAATCCTGCATGGGTTTCATTTTGTGCCTATCGTTATCTCAGCCTTGCACCCAACGTAGGCTTCGGTGCAACACGCACACAAAACCGTGGTTGACTCTTTGCATCAGCCTTGGGCATCGCGATGCCTTTAGGAAGCTCTCTAGCCTTGAGCGGAGGCAGCTAGGTGGGGTGCCAGAAGCTGCAGAGCACTGCCATTGGCGAGGACGTCTACAAGATCAATCCCAGATTCCAGTGCGTCTCTGTAGCCTTGGAATTTGAGACAAGTGCATACAAGTGAGGCTCGCAAGAGGTTGATGGCATGTTGTAGGCGTTTTCAACTTGGAGCTTGTACACTTCTATGTCCTCGCATTCTGTGTTCTATCAATTGTGTCATGTATCATGCTCCAACAGCTCTGATTTGTGCCTGGCGGAACATCGTCAAAAATCTCTGGATGCCACTCTCTGGTACAAATTCCCAGCCTTGGACTTGAAAGCTGTTTTGGGCGGTGAAAGCTGGCTACAACAGGAACTGCTTGCCGCCCATTTGATGAGAGATTGAAAGACTGAATAAAGCACTTGACGCTTGTGAGGCTCCCAGCTCGGTAGCGGAGCGCTGCTTCTGAATTAACTTTTGCAAAAAATCCATACTCATCGATTCCTTCCCAGGTGAACAACTAAAGAAGGAATTTGCATGCAGCACTCCGTGCCAAATGTCTGCTTCTACCCACCTCATCTTCAGAAGCATTGCATCGAACCCGTCTTGAAACCTGCAAATGAAACAATCCAACTCGAAAACTCGCAACTTACGGTGAAGGCTGGCCTTCAGCTTGCCTTTGCGACTGAGACGGCTCGACATGGGCACCATCACCAGCGGCAAAAGCGGCCACGACGGGAGCATGTCTTTTGGCTTCCGCCGCAACTGAGAAGGAGCCGAACTGCAGCTGCCACATTCCAAGCGTGGGCCTGCTTCTCTGAGCACCTCAGAGCAATTCAGCTGCAACCGAAATGCCAGCAATGCTGGATTTAAGATTCGCCATGCCATTGTCATGAGACTCAAAACAGCACAACAGCTACCAAGGCAAACACTCGCCCTTCAGAGGCTCCACGCCACGTGGCAAACACACCTTGCTGTGGTTGGCGCTCTTGCTCTCCACACAAGACTGTTGAAAGGCGTTGCTTTTGTATCTTCAAGCTGTTCCTTCAACTTACTCCCGAAAGCTCTTGTCTACTTTTGGGCCTTCCCCACCCCAATACTGTGCCCTTCCAGTGAGGCTCTATGGCTGTTCTTGGGAGGTGTGGCGCCATTCCATACCCCGCCCACATTGTTCAGGAGTATGGCCTTCACATAATGTCAAGTATCTCCTAGAACTTCTCCCTGGGCACATCGATTCGTTGGTCATTTTAAGGTCCTGTTCTTGACTGGCGATTTTCTCCATGCCTGTCCTCTATGTAGCGTAGCCGATGTGAATTATAGTACTGTGCAGTACACCTTCCCATTCTGAAAGCATGGGGTGTGGCCCAGTGTGTTTGCCGAACAAGCGAAACCAAAACATTCAAATTGTAATCAATAAAAAACTGCCAAACAAATCCAAACAAAACAAATTTGGATGGAGTTGATCTGAGTATTCAGCGCTCAAAGCACGCCCAGGACACAGTCGTCGGTTTGTTGTTCATGAGTCGAGCCCTTTTTCAGTGTCGAGCCTCCAGTAGGTGCAACTGCGCACGGCATGACCATCCTTGGATGCCAAAGTTGCCAATATAGGGTTGTCACAACGCAAAATGTGTTGCTCGAGCTATCTGAGTGCAGGGCAAAAGATTAAAGCGAAACAAATCATCAAACCAGCTGAGCCGAACCGAAGTTGCGGACATCGACAATCCGTGAAGAAACTCCAAACGGTTCTGGGATGTTCAACAAACATGGCAAACCTAGGTGCAAAGCGCTGCCTGCTACCACAAAAACAGGCGGCAATTCGTCCAGGTTGTAAAATCATGTAAAATCTGTGTTTGTCAAGTTGCGCATGTTGGTTGATTGAAAGCTGCGGTTTCCACGGGAAGGTCCTCTTCACAAATCCACGCAGTCTCATCTTGGTCACAGGCAAAATGCGAAATATGTTCCCAAACTGCTGATGTTGGATACTTGTTTGGTCTGAGGGCCAGGCGGGAACACAAAAAAACTTGAGACAGGAAACACGAAAGGTAGAGAGGTACCAGGAATATATGAGAGGTGTAGGAAGTTTGGTGTGTGAAACAGGGCCTTTTGTCACAGGGGCTGCTACAACATGTAATGTGGTGTGGCGCACGTGGAGGCTTGTCAACATTGTCAACGTTGGTGTATGTGAGAGCCGTGGTGTGTAAGAAGTGCCTGGTGCCAGACAGATGTAATTAAAGGATTTCGAGCCTGAGGTCGGCATCGCGAGGCGGACACAGCAGTCCACGCAAGGCGGACACACTTAAAAGCATTGAGAACCCCAACGGACACCTGCGTGACTCTTGAGGACTTTAGTATAATTGTCCGAGCAGCCCTGAGAGGGGAGACAACCAAAGGAAACAGAAGGGAGACAACACGGAGAGAACCCCTAACAGTAAGCGGAAAGGGGCGGACTCCAGCAGTGCAGGCACCGAACCTGGGAGACAAAAGTAAAGAAATCACCTGGGAGACAAAAGGAAAGAAATAACATGGAAAACAAATGAATAGAAATGCAGCATGGCCAGCGCTAAAGGACGGACACCAGCAGTGACACAAAGGGCGGACACATCTTAAGAAAGAATTGAGAACCCCTAACAGTAAACTGTTTGGGAGAAAAGGAGTCAAAACAGGCTGGCTGTTGGTCAAAAAGAAAAGGAAGGGCGGCGGATCAAAAAAGAATTGCGGTGGATCAAAAAATAAAGACGGTAGGTGAAACACGAAGGGCTGTCGGTCAGAAAAGAATGGTTGTGTGGGTCGAAAAGAAAAGATCGGGGATCTAAACACACCGTGGGGCAGAAGCAACCAGATCAAGCGTCGGCTCCGCCGAAGTAGGGCCATGGCGCCAATTAACACAAAGGGTGCCATTTAGGCAAGGCTCAAACGCATCCAAGAAGCGAGTGGTTGAAGTCCCGGAAGCAGAGCCAAACACACAACACAACAACAAAAGCCAACCATGACAACTGGCGAAGCCCGAGCCGGCTTGGAAACTTTACTGCATTTTAGAAGGCCCTGACCATCAAGGTGGTCGGCCCCAGAGGATGGGGCATGCACAATCAATTCTTTTGCCACTTTGTCAGATCGCTTGTTCATTTTGGTTTCCCTTTTTTGCCATCTCTTTGGCGCCTATATTTCCAAGACCCATCACTCTCTCCGTACTCTGGCCACCCAGATCAGAGCCCGCTGCTGGCGCGAAGGAGCCGGAGTGGTAGCAGCTAGCTGACCAGTTGTGTCCAAGGTGTCAGAAGAGAAATGGCGTATCTCAGGACCCCTGTGTGCAATGGTTCTTTGTCCTAAACACTTCGCTTTTATATATATCTTTGATAGGTTCAATGTCAGTTGCAATCTTCCCGTCTTTGCAAGAAGCACTTTGTGTCGTGCTCATCTTTTTTGTGGTGCAGCTGCTTCCAGGAAGTGGTGCCCAAGAAGGAGAATAAAATGCAGAGGCTTGAATCTCCGCCTGAGGCTTTGGGTGGGCGGGCCGCAGTCTGGAGGTTGTGTCCGCTGAAGTTTTCTCGTTTAAACATTTCTGTCACGTGTTGAGAGCATAGAAAACACATGAACCAAAAACAGCACCAACAATTGGTCGTTTGATTTTTTCCCTGAACTATACATTCTAAAAGAATTTGAAGAAAGAATTGTAGATGATAGTTGTTTGACAAGTATATTTTCCTGTCTAGTCGCTTGTGTAATATTATCTTTTCTGTTGGTCCACCATCGCCTACAGTGTTCGGTTGCACCGGTGTAAAGCGGAGGTTCCCCTGGAAAATCATCAAATTGTGGTCTTATAAAACCCTGAGCATTCATTGGATCTAGAATCCTGAACTTCCTTGTAATTGCCATAGCTTTTCCTGTGTTGAGGTTGACCTTAAAACCACTATATATATTTTTTAGGTGGGACCTTGTATTTCTAATATATATATAATTATATATGTACAACAAGGGGTCTACCTACAAGAAAAAATATTATGCACAACAAATGGGGATATGTTGGTAGTGTTTTAGGTACTGCAATTGCTGAATCACGGCAATCGACTCAATCCGCACGGCAGCTCTTTAGTCGCCGGGATTGCTCACTGGGCTTACAGGGGGAGATTTAAAGTCAAAGTTCCTGACGTTCAAGTCGGTACTTTGTCATTAAATCACAAGTACATACTTTTTTTTTGTTTTGTGTCTAGGTCTCTACTGACTCTATGTACATTCGGCGTGGCCATGGTGCCTCAGATCACACCTCTTTGTAGGAAAGTGGAACCTGAATCTTGGCGGTGACGAAATGTGGTTAAATAAGTCAAAGCAAAAGCACTGAGCTGCCAGGCCAAAAGAACCCCGTTCTTCTCCTTCTTCTCGTAGAACCACCGTCCAAACTTATGTTCCTGTGCATAAACACTATATACAACTTTGCTGTTTCTTGTCGATTGGCGGCATATCTCAAGCTGCCACATCAAACACTGCTACATTTGCCTTCCCAATTGCACAGGCAACAAATCTCTTGCCCACTGCAATTTGGTTGATGCAACCAGGCGCGAGAATGGGCCTCAGCGTCGCTCTGGAATTGGCCTTTAAGATCTTTTATGGGCATACAGAACTTGGATCAAAATCTCTTGCAAAAAACTGTGTAGTCTTAAGTTGCAGCACTGTCGCCTCACGTTTTTCAGTTTCGGAAGAAAGTCCGCTCTGATCGTCTCTTGGAATCCAGCTCCGCAGCCGCTTGCATCTGCAAGCCCTTCTGCTCGCCCTGCCACAGAATTCTTGCTCAAAGCTTGGGAGCTGGTGCTTGCCAGCCGCTCAAATGGCCAGATGGTGCTTCAAACCCAGCATGGAACACAATGACAAGAATTGCCAAAAGCAAACAAACAACGATCTAAAGATCTAAATAAGCAAAAAGAAAAATAAGAAACATTAAGAAACTATTGTCTTCCAATTTTCTTGCAGATTCATGTCAAAGTCCGATCTTTGAACGCCAAAGCCCTGCGGTGCGCCACTGCGCCTCATCCCTGCCAAAGCGCCAGGCACGGAGCCTTAAAGCGTCAAAGCATCTACAGTGGCATGTTAAGGACTCAACGGTGCTCATGACTATGCAATGCATATGCCAAATGTTGCTGGTAAGGGGCCGATGACATGACCTGGACCATCCTGACTAATTCTTGAAGCCGGTAGCATCAGTAGCATGGGATAGTCTGTATGCGACGTAAGGCCCTTTCAATTTCGAACCCAATGGCACCGATGGCTTGACTACTTGTGAGCGCAAGACTTGAGCCCGGAAAAGTCCAAAACGTCCTTAAATGCCATATCAGGTGCTTTTCTTGCAGGCCCTGATTTCCCCTCGATTGCCCTCTATTGCTTGCCATGTTGCTTTCAGTTTTCGTTTGAGGTTTCTGGTTCTGGGCCTTGTCCTCTTACTTCTGTATGGCACCGCAAGTAATCATCCAGGATGCGTTTCCTTTATTTGTTGTTTGCACCGTTCAGATATCAGTATCACTTAGGTCAGACTATTGAGCTATCGTTGAAACCCTCCAGAGTTTCCCCAGTGGCGTTGTCGGTCTTAACCTACACTCAGTATGTACTAGTATGCAAGACAGTATGACATAAGAAGTGATTCATCTCGGCCTTATAGACATGTCTACTTGTCTTGCGAGCTCCAGTCTCACCTTGCCTGGCCTAGTGGCGCAGGTCAATGTGAGGAAACTGATGTCCTTCAAGTACAATCAAGCCAGGGGCTTGGCCAAAGTAACTTAAACTTGAAAAGAAGGACAGGTGCGGGATTGCGAGCATCAAGCCAGGAAACGTTCCGTCCACTGAACCGGAGAAAAAGACATTGGATTGCTTGATCGCCTCGATTGAGATTGAAGTTCAGCTGTTGGATTGTTGGGTCTTCGAGGTTCTGGCAGCAAGGGAAGCCACCCACTTCCCTTCTCCTGCAATGGAGGAATCGCAATAGAGTGTTTCCCCTTCTGGTCTGATTTCAACATTTGCCAGCCTAATGAGCTTGTGGCCAGGGGCTTCTTAGAAGCACTCGACCAAAGCATAACTTGGCCATCCTGATGTCCACCATCCGAACGCATGATTGTTCCCCAACATGTCCACAAGGGCAAGTGCAGCACACCCCGTTTGGAATCATGCAGGCGTGCGCTGAATGCCGAACGCGATATCAACCAGCACTCAGCAAGTTTCGTGTTGAGCGGTGGTCATGGTTTATTGGTCATTCAAAAAAATGTTTGACAGTGTTGAGCAAGGGCAGCTGGGAGCTGTGGAAGAGGGCAAGAGGTTGGACAAGGAGGCAAAGTTCCAAAAAGAAAAGTAAAGAGCCGAAAAAAACCATTGCGCAGCACATCGCCCCAGACCTCAACGAGCCTTACGCAACCTACATGGCCTTCCCATCGCACGTCTTGGCTATCATAGACATGTTGATGCGCTGGAATTCCATAACCTTTCTCAGTAACTACCTGTTGAATGCTACCCAGTCAACTGATACAGCTTGCTGATGCAACAAGTTACACTTGCATCTTCTGCATCACCAACTGACCAAGAATTGCCTGCACCAGAAAGTAAAAGCACCACCAAGTTTCCGCGCTAGTTCACTTCATTCGCAAAAACTAACTTCAGCCTAGCCTGTCAATGGTGGAGATTTCAATCATGAGTGCGAAAGTGTGAACCTAACTGCCATGA